TCCATGTGAGTCAGGTGAAGAGAGACGAACAGATGGAATGGTGTTACGCACAAGGGTGAGGAGGCCACGAGCCTGCCCACGGTACCGAGGCAGGGTGTAAACAGTATAGCCAGAGAGGCGGAGGGGAGTAACATCGTCTGTGATGGTTTCCTGAAGTAGAGCGACATCTACTTGATGGGAGAGCACAAACTGGGCGAGGTCTGTCCAGCGGGGTCTAAGTCCTTGGATGTTCCATTGTAAGAAGAGGAGGGAGCGGCCTCCGGTGTGAGATGAAGAGTTGGTGGGGATAGACGGGGCTCCGTAAGAGGTACCAAATTCTGTTGAAGATATTGGAGAGGGAGGAGTGGGAGAGCGAGGGATGGATCCTCCATCTCGGGAGAAGGAAGGAGGCGGGTCACCAGGGCTTGCAAAGTGCACCCCTGTTGGGTCAGGGTGTCCAGAATGAGTTGTTGCATCTACAATTTCGCAATTATCTCCACAAACGAGTTGAGTTGGGCAGAGAGAAGGTTGATTTGCTTGGAGTGGAGATCCAGATGGAGACCAGATGGAGAGGGTTCAGGTGAGCAAGAGGTGGTGGTGCTGGTGAGAGACAGCGGGGGTCCGGGTGGGCAGAAGGTGGTGGTGACTGTGTGGCAGGGCCGGCAACGACCTTGTTCCAAGAACGGTAGGAAGAGGGAGGGAGGGGAGAAAGGATGGGTGGTTGGGGTGGTAAGGGGGATGGTAGAGGAGCGGAGATCAATGGGAAATCCTTGGTGGATGGGAGAAGCGGTGGTGGATAGGGGTGAGGTTTGGTTGACAGGGGCTTCGTCAGAGACGAGGGCGGTGGAACAAGGTAAGTTTTCCCTGGGAGAGTGCCAGGACGCTGTGGGCAGCTGGCATTCCAGGCGTGGTGACTGCTATGACAGTTGACACACCGTGGAACAACTGAGATTTTGTTCTGAATTTTCGATTTGCATTCCACTGTGTCGTGAAGACCTGCACAGAAACTACAGGCGATCATCCTCGTGCACTCCCAGGTGCGGTGTTTCGACGATTGGCAACGACCACAGATTTTCGGGGTTCCGATAAATCGGTCGAGAGGACAGTTGTGAATAGGGCCTACATTCACCTTCGGAGGGAGGGGGCCCACCCACCAGCCGATGAGTTCGTTGGATGGACGTTTGGAGACCGGGATGATGCGGCGTTCCATGTCCAGTAGTTGTGGGAGAAGAGGGCGAAGATCGTCGATAGGGATCTCCCAGGGTACGTGGCGAACCATTACCTTGGTACGACGAGTTTCTGGGGTGATGGTGAACTTAAGCATCACCTCCCTCTGGGGAGCAGGAAAGCCCACCTGAGTGAGCAGGCGTACCGTCTCGTCCATTAGTGTGGTGACTATTACGACTGTAGGACCTCGGCGGAGACGAAGTGTTGAGCCCTGAAATTGAGAGCAGTGATGGAAGAACCAGGTCGTCCGTGTGCTCAGAGGCAAGTCCCGAGGAAAGGCGCGACGGGGCAGGGAGACGACGGGAATCCCCTATGTCCATTGTCGGCGGAGGGTCGGTCATTGAGCCACATGCAAGCTCACTTGGGGACCCCGACGGCAGAAGGAGGTCACCCTCTACAGCCCCAGACGGGGTGAGAGGGGGAGCCGTAGCCCCTGCTGGAGACCCTGACTTCTGAGGTTTCTGCTTCTTAGACTTGTCTTCAAGATGAAAGTCGTCAGCATCACTGCCGCCGTGTCCAACGAACGGGAGCGTTTAACGGCGGGCATGGGGCTCGTTGACAACACTACAGTCAGGTAGATAGTTTGGCTTGTTTGAGGTGGAGTGTTAAAGACGTCACTGCTACGTCACACTTCACTGCGCATGCTCAAAATTGAAAATATTTAACCAGAGGGACCGGATGGTAAGACCAGATGTTTTTATCAAATAAAAATGACAAAGTCCAATCTTTAAAAAAAAAAAAAAAGATGCCACTGTGCTGATAACTGGGTCTTACTATAGTTCTGAGCTTAGTAGACTGGCTGAATTCGTCAAAATTACGACTTTTAAGGAGCAATTTCTTACAGCCTTTGTTGACGCCCACGGCACGCATGCGCGTTCTCCCTTCATTTAATTTAATTTTAATTGTCATAATGGTCTAAGGAAACAAGAAGAGTCGAGTTTCACCTGAGATAATGGTCCTGTTTCGGTGAGATCATTGAATTTATTTGGTTAATGTTGTTTAGCTTGACAATAAACGAACGACAGCCTGTGTTAGACAAGATCTTAACAAATTAACATGATAAACGTTTAAAGGCGAAAAACAGAAGCTCTATGAGGTGTATGAACTGTAGTAGACATAAAGAAGTTATTGTGAGTATTACACTATAGGTGGTATTTCGCACAAAAATTGCTTCTATATACGTACTGGTGTAATCCTTGGTAAATGTTCCTGTAGGTACGTATGTGGGGTACAGGTTATTTGGTTCACACTCAGGATGGGATGGAGAAAGGAAACTCACAATGTGCTCTCTGTATACATGTTGTATTGGATGTACAATGCAGCTTGGTGCTGGGAAGGCAGCATGATTACAAGCGTGATGTAGAGAGAGCTGGTTGGTGAGGATGCTCAGAGGAGAACAGCTTGTGGTTCACCATGCTCTCCGGCGGGAGCGAGGACCGCCAGGCAGGCAGAGGAGAAGGAGGAGGTGTTGCTGGCTGGTTGGTGTAGGTAGAATAGAGCGAGCTGGTTAGTGAGGATGCTCAGAGGAGGACCAACTTGTGGGTCGCCATGCTCACCGGCGGGAGCGAGGACCGCCAGGCAGGCAGAGGAGAAGGAGGAGGTGTTGCTGGCTGGTTGGTGTGGATGCTCAGAGGAGGACCAGCTTGTGGGTCGCCATGCTTGCCGGCGGGAGCGAGGGCCGCCAGGCAGCGGCGGAGAAGGAGGAGGAGGTGTTGCTGGCTGGTTGGTGTAGGTAGAATAGAGTGAGCTGGTTGGTGAGGATGCTCAGAGGAGAACAGCTTGTGGTTCACCATGCTCTCCGGCGGGAGCGAGGGCCGCCAGGCAGCGGCGGAGGAGGAGGTGTTGCTGGCTGGTTGGTGTAGGTAGAATAGAGCGAACTGGTTGGTGAGGATGCTCAGAGGAGGACCAGCTTGTGGGTCGCCATGCTCTCCGGCGGGAGCGAGGACCGCCAGGCAGGCAGAGGAGAAGGAGGTGTTGCTGGCTGGTTGGTGTAGGTAGAAAAGAGGAGCTGGTTGGTGAGGATGCTCAGAGGAGGACCAGCTTGTGGGTCGCCATGCTCTCCGGCGGGAGCGAGGACCGCCAGGCAGGCGGAGGTGGAGGAGGTGTTGCTGGCTGGTTGGTGTAGGTAGAATAGAGCGAGCTGGTTGGTGAGGATGCTCAGAGGAGGGGCCAGCTTGTGGGTCGCCATGCTCAGGCGGGAGCGAGGACCGCCAGGCAGGCAGAGGAGAAGGAGGAGGTGTTGCTGGCTGGTTGGTGTGTAGAATAGAGCGAGCTGGTGGTGAGGATGCTCAGAGGAGGACCAGCTTGTGGGTCCATGCTCTCCGGGGGAGCGAGGACCGCCAGGCAGGTGGAGGTGGAGGAGGTGTTGCTGGCTGGTTGGTGTAGGTAGAATAGAGGCGAGCTGGTTGGTGAGGATGCTCAGAGGAGGAACAGCTTGTGGGTCGCCATGCTCTCGGCGGGAGCGAGGACCGCCAGGCAGGCGGAGGAGGAGGAGGTGTTGCTGGCTGGTTGGTGTAGGTAGAATAGAGCGAGCTGGTTGGTGAGGATGCTCAGAGGAGGACCAGCTTGTGGGTCGCCATGCTCTCCGGCGGGAGCGAGGACCGCCAGGCAGGCAGAGGAGAAGGAGGTGTTGCTGGCTGGTTGGTGTAGGTAGAATAGAGCGAGCTGGTTGGTGAGGATGCTCAGAGGAGGACCAGCTTGTGGGTCGCCATGCTCTCCGGCGGGAGCGAGGGCCGCCAGGCTGCGGCGGAGGAGGAGGAGGAGGTGTTGCTGGCTGGTTGGTGTAGGTAGAATAGAGGAGCTGGTTGGTGAGGATGCTCAGAGGAGGACCAGCTTGTGGGTCGCCATGCTCTCCGGCGGGAGCGAGGGCCGCCAGGCTGCGGCGGAGGAGGAGGAGGAGGTGTTGCTGGCTGGTTGGTGTAGGTAGAAAAGAGGGAGCTGGTTGGTGAGGATGCTCAGAGGAGGACCAGCTTGTGGGTCGCCATGCTCGCCGGCGGGAGCGAGGACCGCCAGGCAGGCGGAGGAGGAGGAGGTGTTGCTGGCTGGTTGGTGTAGGTAGAAAGAGAGAGGTCACCACGAGGTCAGGTCTTAAATAGCGGGGGTAGGCGAGGCTTAATAGTTGACCCCCGCTCCGTGAGGGGCGCTGGTTGACCTAGACCACCAGGCATACACTGGGGAATTCGCGGGGTCGGCCACTCAGCGACAAACAGCGTTTGTAGGTGAGAAATCCACTACAATACCTCTCTTGTGTGGGGTTTCTGCACTTCTTAATCCACTATATTTTTTTCCGCAGGAGCGAAATCATTTACATGGGTGTGTGAACAATTATTTTCATCACATTAGAGCAAAACACTAAAAAGAAATGTGTGAGAGATAACGAATGTTAAAATGGAGTACAAGAGTTTGTTCTTTAACCAGGTTTACGTTTCCGGTTTCATTCTATCTGATGACGCCAGTGTTTCAACCCATGTCAGCCAATGTAAAACATTTTTATCGCAGCACTTTAGTCTGTCTAACAAATTCAAGAGAAATAAAACTAATATTTTTTTATTATCAGGATTATATTTTCAGGTTATATATAATTTATATATATATATATATATATATATATATATATATATATATATATATATATATATATATATATATATATATATATATATATATATATATATATATATATATATATATATATATATATATATATATATATATATATATATATATATATATATATATATATATATATATATATATATAGCCAATCACTAATATTAAGTTATGACAAAAGGATTCGGATGCAGTTGTTTTCTGGTGTCAACAATAACACGTTTATGCATTCTATTGGTTCTTTCGTGTTCACGAGTCAGTTCTCCTCCTTGTGAATTGGACCTGTCATCGTACACCATGTTACTCCGTTTGGGAATAATATTGTCCTTGCTGTGCTTGGTCTCCTGCACGCTGTCACAGGGCAACAAGAAGAAGAAGACGGAAAGTAAGGTTGGTTGTATAAAATTATTGTTCGTATTCCTGGTCAGGTCAAAAAAATATAAAACATTTTGCGGTCTTGAGCCGAAAGCCTACCGAATAGAATGATTAAGGTAAAGGAATCCTTTTAAAGTAATAGTTAATGCAAACGTCCATAAACTACCAACCCTAGTGGGTCGGGCATACACCAGCTCCAGGTATGAGCGCTCGATTGAATAGTGCCCTCAGAGATGTATACAAACTAATAATAAGTCACCCCTTAGCCCACCTATAGTATAAGCGATTTGCCTGGCTTAGCTATAGGTGGACAAGGGGTGACAATATGGTAAAAAGGGTAAATTTATGATAGTGGCCAGGTTTCGATTTTTGGTTAATATACAGGACTAACCCGCCAGGGCTGCATAGCACCGATGCGGCCGTATCTCACGTCCAGAAATTTCTCAAATTTCACCATATCATAGTAAGTTCTTTCTGTTTAATATACCGGGGAAGTTAGGTAAGGTTAGGTTGGTTTGGTTGGTTAGGTCTGTTCTTCATAACCACAAATGTTAAGTAGCGTTTATTTTAAAAATATAAATTTTTAACATATTTCCACAAACTACAACAGTGTCTGCTATAATATAACAATGAAAATCCGGCGTTTTTATAATTGTTTTTAATCAATTTCGCCCACGGGTTAGTCCCATATAATTACCCGATTTTCCCCCTAAAAATACATTTATTCTATGTTTCTTTTGATTCGCACGAATCTGACATTCGTTGTTGGTGTTAAACACCCGTTTTCGAGTTAAGCCCCATGACAGGGATGAGGGAAGGACCCAACCTAACCATAAAAACCATAAAAAACCTGACCTCGAACTCCCCTGCAGTGTTGATCACATTCAGAATGTGACATGTCTGGCTCCCATAATGCATCATTTCCCTCAGTTCATTGTTTACCTATTGCCGAGAACAGCTCGTGAAGGGGATGTTTGGTATTTTGAACTCGCTATATATCCGTTATTTCTCGGCAGCACAGAGAGTGTCATAGAGAAAATTCGTCTTATTTTTGCTAATTAATGTTGTTACAAACAACTAAAATAACGGAATTTGAAACCTGGCTACTATCCTAAATTGACCGTAAAAATAAAATAGGTACAGGACATGGACGGGAATCGCGAACAAAATGGCAGTGGATATATGCCATGACCAGTAAGTTCCTACTAATGCTATTTTACCATGAGTGCACTCTGATTGGCTAATCGTCCATTACTGGCAAGAAATGTGAGAACTATATTTGCCCGTGACTGGCTGCATTTGGCATTTATTTGACCATGAGTCGATCGTTGTGTAGCTGTAATCATACCTAATCATATTACTGTTGTGCATGAAAACTTATCATTATAAAAGAGGTGACATTAGTAGAACCTAATAGAACCTGACCTAACCAACCAAAGAGACCTACCTAACTTTACCTAACTTCCCCCGCCATATTAAATAGAAAGTACTTAGCCAATCAAAGCACACTCACGGTAAAATAGCATTAGTGGGAACTTAGCCGGTCACGGTAAAATATCCACTACATCACAAAAATAGGTTTTCATTATAATATAATTGGGTAGGTAAAATTATCGTTTCAGTCATCCACCTATTTGGAAGTTGAAATTATGTTTTTCTGGTGGTTTTTTTTATATGTTTTCAACGATTCTGACCCTCGTATCTACCACAAATCACTGCTTTTTGAGCTACCCCAACCCACTTTATCCAGCAATACTGTAATGAGGGACACATCAAAAACCATCGGAAAAACATAATTTCAACCCAACCCACCTAACCTCACCGGTAATGCAGCATAGTAACCAACAAATGAACACACAGGAGCTCTCTCTCAGAAGGTGGTAACTTAAAATCCTAAAATCGCTGGATGACCGAAACTATGCTAATACCATTGGGATAATCCTGGAGGAGATGACTAACACAGAAGGTGTAATTCAATTTCGTTAATTTTCTCCACGTTCTTATCATTTTAGTAAGTACAGTATTTTAAAAGAGGTGACATTTATGAGAACTTAATAGAACCTGACCTAACTAGCCAAAGAAACCCACCTAACTTCATAGCCAGGGGTTCCGGCCCCCAGATCCTCCGCCATATTAAACAAAATACTTCTTTTGGTAAAATTGTGGTTTTGGTCATCCCTGTATTTTGATATCCAAGCCTACCTAACCTAACCTAGCAACAAAACCCAGACACTATATCTCACATAACCTAAATTCCCAAGATTCCCAGGATGACCGAAATTTAAATATTACCCTTATTTTGATGTCCGGTACCAATCAAAGCAACTTTGTTGAAGTGTTGTGGCGTAGTTTTGTGTTTTATGTGGACGTGAAAGTGTGCTCGGACTGATCAGGTTGGTTGTAAATAAAAAGAGCATACGACAATACGTGCCGACTCGGCAGATTTTTTGGAGGGGTATTTGCTATAGATAATTATTAACTTCTTTATGTACAAAGCACGTAGAGACATCATTTTAGTGTCAAAATATCAGTTTTCACTGTGTATTACCCCACAGTTTCCGTCATCCTTCATGCCCAGTCCACTACTGGTGAAATATGATCTTAGATAGAGAAAAACTAAAAACAAACAAACTAATGATTAAAATAAAAAATGTTGCCTTTTTTAAAATACTTAATACAGTATATTGATAAGAAGATCCATGGTAAAAATTACGAAATCAAACAATTCCTTTCGGTGTTAGCCATTTCCTTCAGTATTACCTGTAATTAATGGTAATTTAGAAGAACATAGTATTTATTTTTGGCAGAAATTAGTATTTATCCAGATATGACCCCCTATCAGTGACAACTACGTAATGTATAAAGTGGGCAAGGCTTTGAGCTCGAGGGAAATTGTGGTGTAAAAACACGCAAAAAACTGAACCAATCAAGGAAACCTACCCTACCCCATCTTAACTTTACCAAACTATGCTTACCTTATTTAACAGGTGGTAGCAGCTGATCTATTGTATATTATGTGAAGAAGTAAACAATTAATGTGTTCCAGCAAACAGAGAACCGCCAAATTGTTATGAATTTTCTTAAACTTAAAATTAAAATAACTCCAAAAATTTTAATGTGTGCTACATACTGTACATGTACTACTCTTGCGAATTAAAGAATACCAACTCTGATCTATACATTATGTAGGTTTTCCCACCTGTGCTAATTCAGTAAACTTAAGCTTTAAAAGAAAATATCATTGCTTTGGTTACATTCTCAGTTGTTGTTTAGACTATCTTTTTTTAACACTGGTTGAAGGCTTTCACCACTGCAGTTTCATTATATTGTATCCTCCAAAATAAGATTCAGTAGGGAGTACATAAGTCTGACTGAACTTAGTTTATGGTGAGTAGGCAACTGGCTGTATATAACAAATCATTAATGAATGTCTTATTTTATAAAGTAGGATTGAACCATTTTGTGTTGCCTCCTAATTGTAAGTGATGTTTTCATTTATAATGTACAGTATATAATTTTTTCATCAGTGAAAACTTAATAAGTTAGTGGGCACTTGTTAAAATTTCCTCTGCCAATAGATAGAACACAGTGAACACAGAGCATCAGTTTTGACAAATGCTGCCAGATGACATCATGTTTTAACAAATGAGGTTGATTTCCTATACTGTACTGTCTTTGGAATGTTTTGCACAGTGTTATATTTTGTAATTAGTAATTAGGAAATGCATAAGGGAAAGTATATAAAAAAATAGTTATATGCTGAAAAATTGGGTGTCGAGTATACATAGGATCAATTTTGACTGGTGCCAAACAGAACTCAGTTTCCCTCTATGATAGATTTATAAGTTGTCTCTTGAAACAATTGACTTGACTGTATTAACCTAACTTGGTGGTAGGTAAAGCTTGGTTAGGGTTGGTTAAATTGATTAGCACTGTAGAATTCATTATGATGTCAAAAAACAAAACTACAAGGTTTTTTGAGGAAAATTAAAATGGTTAAAATGTAATATTCTCTTGTTCAAATTTATTTTTTAATGTTCCCACACCTGATCATGTACTGTACAGCCTTTTATACATGAAAACAAATAATTTTGAGGAGAGGGTTGTTTACAGGTGTACAGTATTGTACTCTGTTATACAGTACTGTACAAGTAGATCATAGAATACTGTACAAATTTTGGCCGGTCCCCCCCTCTCCCACCCCCCACCCCCAGCCTGTTTACATATGCAGTGTCTTTGGTCTTGAAAAAAAAATGCATTTTGAAATTAATTAAAAATTCTTTGCTGTTTGTAATATCAGTGTTTGGTGTTGTTCTGTGGTGTCAGCCATAGAATGTTTGTTGGTGGTCAGGAAATTTATTACATCATCTACCAGTACAGGAAGGAATTGACACATGAATTTGCCCTACAGAATACTTGCCAAGATTATTTGAAGACATTTACAGTGTACTCTACAGTATTCATAGTAGTCTCCTCTTTTCACTGAAGGGAACTTGTGCTGAGTTCCACTGTAATTTCTCTGTTGTGGTTAAATGTTATTGTATAAAGAAATGTATGGTAGATTATAGTCGAGGAAAATTTATCTTTTTATGTGTATTCTACAAGGGTGGGTAATATAATGAACATATTGATGGAATAAACACTCACTCCTATGTTACTTAGACAGTGTGTAGGCAAATACTATGATCTTGATGAAACACAAGTACAGTGCTGTATATAATCAACAATAATTAAGTATAACCGACTTACCGTTCTTCTTGTGTGATCCAGAGCCCATCTTTGGAGTGAACTGAGAGTGCATCCTTCCATGACACCTCAGGAAACAGTACTGATATTTGTCTTTATGTTGTCACACTCAGAGGAAGCTGTTGGTGTTGCCAGTTAGAAGATTTAACCCCTCAGTGTCACTCTTGAAACACTGCTGTAACTCATTCATGTGTCACCAGGATATATAGAAATTTATTTCATGTAAATAAATTTAGTGATTTGTTAATATATTAAAAAAAATTTAATCTTTTGTGATTTCTATATCTGATTATTAAAGAGTATTGATGCTTTAATAAATCTTCTTATACATTTGCAGTATTAGAAACATACAGACAAGTGGATATGAAAGAGATTGATAAAATGATAGAGATAGGTAAATAGATAGATACAGTACAGTACAGTGGGGTATGCTATAACGAACGGATCCTACTACGAATATTCCTATAACGAACGGTTTTACCTATAAAATTGAGAATGCTATAACGAACGCAACTCCTACAACGAACGCGGATGAATACGGGACTATTTCGCCTGGCGCATGAATATTGTTGTACCGCGACCCACAACAAGAGCGTCAGGCGCCATGTTTTTCTCATTGTGTAGCCAGTGCACCACTGTTATTGTTGAAATTTCGTCTTTTAATGTGGAAATTCGCATTATTTGTATAACTATTTTGTTGTACAAGTATACAATTGTAACAATGAATCGTCCAAAGCGAGTGAGAAAGCTAATAACCCTTGAAACTAAGAAAGAAATTATAAAGAAACGTGAGAATGGAAGAAGCATTGCGAAACTTAGTGATGAACATGGGATGGCTAAATCGACTATATGTACGATTTTGAAGAATAAAGGGGAGTTAAAAACAGTGCAAGTGGCTAAGGGAATCTCTAGACTTAGCAAAGCAAGGTGTAATGTGATTGAAGAGATGGAAAATTTACTCTTAGTGTGGATAAAGGAGAAAGAAATGGCAGGTGGTAACATTAGTGAAGCTATAATTTGTGAGAAGGCTAAACAATTGTTTGAGGACCTTAAAGCCAAGACTCCCAGTGGAAGTGATAGTGCTGTGCCAGTGTTTAGGGGTACCTGCATGCTGAATAACACTAAGGTAAGATAAAGTACCGTATTTTTTACATTTTCCACAGAATTTTTTCAGTGTTAAGTGGTTGTATTTGGGGGCCTGGAACGGATTAATCCTATTACGAACGAATGCTATAACGAACGAGGTTCTGGAACCAATTACGTTCGTTATAGCATACCCCACTGTATAGAGATACAAAGTACGTAATGTATACTGTACTGTAGTTAGAGTGTGGTAGAAAGATAGGTGGAGAAAAAGAGATATAGAGATGTAGATGTATAGATTGAGAACATGGAGATAGATAGATACAGTAATATATATACAGTATATATATACAGTGGTCCCTCGGTTAACGAGCACAATCTGTTCCAGCAGGTTGCTCGTTAACCGAAAAACTCGTTAACCGAAACCATTGTTTCAATGGGTTTTTGGGTAATTGGTTCCAGCTCACCGAAAATTGCCTAAATTCAACAAAAAAGGTAGAAAAGTACACTTGCTTTGAGGTGTGTATGTAGAAGGCTCTTGGATGATGATGTTGATGATGGGAATTAGAATGGGGGTGGAGGAGAAGGAAGAAGAGAAAGCATTGGGGTGGAAGAGAAGTCACCCCATGGCACCATTTCACCCATAAAATTTTAGTTCTCTTGGTGTATTTCAAGATTATTTTCTTTAAATCAACACTGCACTGCATTATATATTGTCAATATGTAAAATATATTTCAAAATGACCAATAATTTGCTTGGAAACACAGAAAAAAGCGTTTAGTTGAAGAGAGTCTCAAGCAAGATGTTACCTTCACTGAAAACAGAGAGAGACTAACGCCTGTCTGGTGTGTTAACAGGCTGGATGGCACGCCAGAAACTAGTTTCTTTACCTTCAATTATGTTCAATAATTGTTAAAATGACTAAAAAAAGTTAATATTAAACTTTTAAAATTATTGAATAGTATAAACTTCTTGATATTTACTAAAATAGTAAGGAATTTAAGCCCTAAAACCGATTACTGTATTGGCGGACTAATACTACAGCTGGTGGACCGCCAAATGCAAGTGAAAACATGTTGAAGTCGGCTCGTAAAAAACTCGTTAACCAGTTAAATTTATGGAAGAATGCATCGTTAAGCAATCTCGTTAACGGTAGCTCGTTAACGAGGCACTATATATATATATATATATATATATATATATATATATATATACATATACACAGTGGGGTATGCTATAACGAACGGATACTACTACGAATATTCCTATAACGAACGGTTTTACCTATAAAATTGAGAATGCTATAACGAACGAAACTCCTACAACGAACATTATTTAAAAAATTTTACTAATTTATTGTTTTTATTACAAGTATTAATGATATTGGTTATTTCAGGGTTTAGATGCATATTTATGCACTTTTTACAATTTTACAATTTTATATTATATTTTTCAGTGTTAAGTGGTTGTATTTGGTGGCCTGGGCGGATTAATCCTATAACTTGAGCGATGCTATTGAACAAGGTTCTAGAACCAATTAGATTCGTTATAGCATACTTACTACAATGATTATATATATATATATATATATATATATATATATATATATATATATATATATATATATATATATATATATATATATATATATATATTTAGACCCCTTCTACGGCGGTTAGGGACCAAATCCAGATTGGTTATTCTGATAATATATTGATAATATACAGTGCAGAAATTATTATGAAACATGAAGAAGGCATTAGAACCAATGCTCGCTGTAAAGAATATGGCATGGCATCATCGACTGCCTCTACAATCAGCCGTTTGATATGTAAACAAAACTCCTGTTAATACGACATACACACCTCAAAGTAAGTTAAAATACAGTATTCAATTGTTTTTTATTTATTATTGTACAGTATACTGTACACTCAGTGTACAGTACAGTACTGTATTTAGTTTATATTTAATGTTTTGTTAATTCTATTACTGGTATACAGCACTTTGTATGGAACCAAACACTATCTGGTTTTTCTATTTTATTACTAAAATATCACACATGCTATTGTTATTAATGACAAATTAACCGATAATAAGCAACTGTCCTTTTATGAGAGAATTTAGGAGGTAATTTACAGAGCTCCATTAACATGTCTCTTGCTTCTGAGATACAGGGGTTAAGTCCACTGAGGGCTGGGCATTTGGTGATGACCTGTGCAAATCAGAGGTTCGTGGAGGACATGGGAACACATGAGAAATAAGTGATAAGCTATGCTTAGTTGCTGTTTATCTAGTTAATTCAGGTAGTGTTAGTTATCTAATGAATACATGTGATTAGCCCACATTTATATAAATATACTACTACAGTATATGTTGACAGAGAATATTACAAAGTACACAATGGTAAGTAAGTTTAACTTTTTTGGAGTGAGAGTTGTGAACTCTTGGAACAATCTGCCAGAGTGTTGTGACGGCAATGAGTGTGAGCTCTTTCAAGACCAGACTTGACCAACACTGGAGCAGGTTCAGATATATTCAGGAGCCGGTGCATGCCCAGTACTTGCCAACAGTGCGTAACAGAGACGCGACCGATCGCCCAAGCGGCTAACGAGCCGATCAGTGGTGAAGAGGATAAAAGTAAAAGTAAAAAATACATTTGTTTCCAGGTTTCCGGTTCAGTAAACAAGACTGTGTTTGAGCGTGGACTAGTGACTGATCGTCCCAAGTGGAAGGACATCGTGGACAACCATGGCACTTACCATCGCAACACTGCCTTTCGAGCTGTAAATGATATGACACTTGCTTATGTCACTCCAGTAAGTTTTCTCAGTTAATATTTTCATAATCTGCTTTACTTATGAGTTGCCATTACTAGTAAATTTTCAATTCTTAGATATTATTACACTACCAGTGTCATATGTTTTACGTAAATGATAGATGTGAATGCGTTTTTTGTAGGCCCATTAGGATTTTTCATGTTGAATTAACATAATATCTTAATCAATTATTTTATTGAAGCAGTCCATTTTTCTTTTACTGTAAGTACTGTATCAAAATGTTAAATTTGAGGCTGTGTTTCATAATTTTGCTAATTACAGTACCTCTACAGTACATGGCTTTTTAATTTTATTTTATTATGCTTAGCTTAGACATGAAATTCTAAATGTAATATGAGGCGCTCAGCGTCAGAAGGGGGTGAAGCGACACCCCGGCCAAATTGCGTTTTTTATGGATATCACTATTTTCACCCTTCCTCTACATGTTGGCGTTGGATGTAACCCTCTAGCTAGAATAGAAATATAGTTGAAAGTCCTTCAAAAGTAAGGTGTGATTTCGCCTCAGGCCTGGAGCTACGTATCTGGCTGTGCGCTCAGTCAAAGAAAGTGGCACCATCCCGTTCAGAGCGAAAGGAGCATGCGCCAATGATAGCGCGCCTCCCTCGGACCATACCCCCCGAGGCAGCCAATCACAATGGATTTCACCTTGCTACGTCACAGCTACTCAGCCAATTCGCGTGCCCAGATGCTGCCGCCTCCTTAGTTTTGGTGCATATTTTAGCATCAGGAGGTTAACTTTTTGGCGTAACATTGATGTTATTCGTGCTCCACAGGTGTGAGAAGTGCTGTGCAATATCTACCCGATATTAGAGCAAGACTCAAGTCAGGCCAGGCCTTCTGGTGTGGGTTCAGGAGCCCATTATTTCTGAGCATGTGTTTGATGCCAGTGCTCACGTGGACACCCCAGTAATGCTTGGTGATAGTGATTTTGGTGGTAAATTTAGTGTTGATTATGGTGACAAAAGTGCTACTGGCGATGGTGCAGGTGGCGTGCATGATTGCAGAAGAAACCATACATCACGTTATGAACCATCGGAAGATCTTTTTAGAGACTATGATGACTTACCTGTCGACAATGAAAGTGACTCACAGCATGATGAAAGTGATTATCATAATGACAATAACACTTTGAACGCACAGAATAACTTTTTAGCGTGCTACAAAGCATCCGAAGACCTTTTTGCCGACCATGGCGAGTTAAAAGACAATGTGGCATGCATTGACGATGATAATGATGGTGAAAGTGAGCTTGAAATAGATGAAACTGAGTATACTCATAATACAAAAAGTGACTGCTATGCATCACAAGACCTTTTTGCAGACTGTGATCCGGTACAGAGTTACGTGACATGCACCGACGGCAATAATGACGATGAAAATGATGAAAGCGAGTCTAATGATAACACAAACAGTGACGCTAGTGTATCACAACAAGAACATACAGACTGTGAGGAGGTGGAAGTGGACAGTGAAGAGACATGCATTGACCTTGATAGTGATGAAAGTGAGCCAGACCCAACAAATGCTAGTGAAAGTGAGCCCATACCTCAATCTTATAATGAAACTGAACTGTTTCCGGCATCAATAATTAATGATTTAGTTAATGAAGAATCTGTGTGGCTATTTTAAGAGAGGTCAGAGAAAGACTTTGATCAGTATGTGATTGATTATGACGAGGCCATTAAAGTTATACGCACTCCTCAGGATGTACATAACTTCAAGTTGCTACGATCTTCAGGGATAATAAAACAAAGGAACTAAACAAAGTACGATTGTAATAATATTGTCATAATACTGTTTTTACCAAAGATTATGCAAACGTTCTCTGCCTTTGTATTCGTATGTTAAATACGGTGGGGGGTTGTAGTGATGTGTCCTTATTATTACACACTATTATATGCAGTGGTCCCTCGGTTAACGAACGTAATTCGTTACAGGTCATTCATTAACCGAAACCATTGTTTCAATGGGATTTTGGGTAATTGGTTCCAGCTCACCGAAAATTACATAGAAAGTAAAAATAAATGCAGTAAAGTACACTTACTTTGAGGTGTGTATGTAGAAGGCTCCTGGTTGATGATGATGGGAATTAGAAGTGGGGGTGGAGGAGAAGGTAGAAGAGAAGGAAGTGGGGGTGGAAGAGAAATCACCCCATGCTTCATGCCGTCATTTCACCCATAAAATTTTAGTTCTCTTGGTGTAATTCAAGATTATTTTCTCTAAATCAACACTGCACTGCATTATATATTGTCAATATGTAAAATAAATTTCAGAATGACCAATAATTGTACTGTAAAAACGTAAAAATAGTTTATGTTCAAGAGAGTCTCAAGGAAGATGTTACCTCTACTGACCAGAGATACAAACTGACGCCTGTTTTGTGAGTTGAGTGGCTGTTTGGCGGACTAAAAACTAGTTTCCTGTACTTCAATTATGTTAAATAATTGTTAAAATTACTAAAAAATTTAATATAAAACTTGGAAATTATTGAATACAGTGATCCCTCGGTTAACGAACGCCTCGGTTAACGAAATTTCGGGTAATGAATTACCTTCCATAAGAATCTTCAATTTGGTTAACAAAATCCATACGAATTCTTCTCAACATGTTTTCGCTTGCTCACCAGCTGGAATATTAGTCCGCCAATACAGTAATTGGTTCTAGGGCTTAAATTCGTTCCCATTTGAGTAAATATCAAGAAGGTTGTACTATTCAATAATTTTAAAAGTTTTATATTAAAATTTTTAGTAATTTTAACAATTATTGAACATAATTGAAGTACAGGAAACTAGTTTTTAGCGCGCCAAGCAGCCACTTGACTCGCCTAGCAGGCGTCAGTTTGTGTGTCTGCTCAGTGGAGGTAACATCTTGCTTGAGACTCTCTTGAACATAAACTATTTTTACATTTTTACAGTACAATTATTGGTCATTCTGAAATTTATTTTACATATTGACAATATATAGTGCAGTGCAGTGTTGATTTAAAGAAAATAATCTTGAATTACACCTAGTGAACTTAAAATTTTATTGGTGAAATGATGGCATCAAGCATGGGGTGATTTCTCTTCCATCCTCACTTCCTTCTCTTCTCCCTTCTCCTCCACCCCCACTTCTAATTCCCATCATCATCATCATCAACCAGGAGCCTTCTACATACACACCTCAAAGTAAGTGTACTTTAGTGCTTTTTTTTTTTTACTTTGTACTTTTCGGTGAGCTGGAACCAATTACCCAATATCCCATTGAAACAATGGATTCGGTTAATGAACGACCTTCTAGAACGAATTGTGTCCGTTAACCGAGGGACCACTGTATATTTTGTTTATTTACAATATATTGTACATGTACAGTAGTGTTTGCATAAATTAATACACCTCTGTGTCTGTTTGAGACACGGAAACTTCCACCAGTACCTGGAGAAATTTCATAGATGTGTGATTTTTTCTAGGATAAAAAAAATTGCCACAGTACCCAGAAATCTCTCCAACCCCGGAAACACACTGCACCAATTGTTCCAGCTAACAGGGAGATTACCCTTATTGTTATTACTATTGTCATATACAGTAATCATTGTGTACACAAAAGATTTCAATGAGAACTTGTTTTGTGGCATTTTAAGACTTTTTTTCATAAGAGTGTATCTCGGCCTTTATAATGGGAGTATGGAAAAGTGTGATCCTTTTTTTTTAAATGTTTTTCATGAATGGAACCTTTTCATAAAATGGGGAATGCTTGTACAGTATTATGTAGTACATATTTGTATACAGTATTGTACCTATATATAAATTTATTAACTGCTCCTGTAGTAGGAAAGACAAGTCATTGCTGAGTTTCCCATGACTTAATGCTCTAATTATTATTACAGTACAGCTGCTCCTCGACTTACGACGGGGTTAGGGACCCAAATCCAGGTCGTAAGTCAAATTGGTCGTAAGTCAATTGGTCATAAGTCGAAAATGCTTTAATAATACATAGAAAATCTAAAATGGGTGTCTCTTTTTCTTCTCAGCACCACAAAACTCTCACTTTTAAGCTTGCCAGCCATTTTAAAGAGAATTACAAATGAAAATTTTGTCAGTACACAGCACAATCACTAACGTCGGGACTCGAAAATACGTAATTTGAAAAAATTTTGGTACGACTGGGGCTGTCGTATGTCCGGGTGGTCGTAAGTCGAGGAGTGGCTGTACTGTACTATACTGGTCATCAATAATAACATTGGTAATGAAAGATGTACTTAACATTTGCTTCAACTTAGAACATGTATTTTTTTTTATGCCATTGTAAAAGTTCTGTCATGGAAGTGCCTTTTTTTTCTTTAATACATCAAGAAAGTAAAATGGTGTTTTAGGAGGCTGGCTTAGATGGTTATATAAGATCACTAATGTGTTGTGTAGTACATACTAATTTTTATTATTGGTTTCAGTGGAACAACCATGGATATGATGTAGCCAAGTTTCTGGGTGGCAAGTTTACTCATATTTCACCAGTTTGGCTCCAGCTGAAGCATCATGGAGGGGACACCTTCATCACTGGGGACCACGACATTGACCAGGGGTGGCTCAAGGAAGTTCGGAAGGCTGGAAAGAGTGTTAATGTTAAAAGTGAGTATCTGGCACTGTATGTGAATTATTTATGACAGACACTACTGTATTTTTTTTGCTCTTGAGATTTATTGATTCTGCTTGCGTTGTTATTTGTCTAAAATCCATTTTTGTATTTTTGGTAAATAACAACTGTAGGTATTGTGTCTGAAAAAGTGGAGTTTGGGGGTCGGCCCGGTCTCTATTTCAATTAATCCCATATGTTATGTTGTTCACTTTACGTGTTTCTCACTTTCCGCGGTACCCTGTGGGTTGAATTAACCGCGTAAAGTGAGGGTTCACTGTATAGGAATAAGAAAATGATGCAGGGTTCAGCTTCCATCACAAACCAGGGAATGTGGGGAAGGCACTAACTAGGCCTCTATCATCATACAACACATAGACCTTGTTAATTTTAAAGGTCTTTGTCACTAAGATACACAATTTTGCATAAAATTATATAAAATCATGAGTTGTACTCAAGGCAAAGAAAATTCCTATAGATGGTAGATTCTTAACTCAGAAAGCACAATGCATGAAACCTTAATTTCAACAGAAGATATTCCCCCCCCCCCCTAGACCTTGCCACTTGTGCCCACTGGTGACAGCTGTCAATATTACATGCTTCACAGGTGAAATTATGTGCCGTGCAAAAACACAAGAGATAAGTCATGCATAGGGGTAGTGGTTCAGTGTGCAACCACAGCAACACCAAGGGGGTTTGTAACTACTGTGAGGAGCAATTTTGTAAGGAATGTGCAGTTAAGGATGGTCAGGGATATAGGATGCTGATGAATTTGACAAAGTCTACAGCTTGCTGCTATATTGCCCTGAATGTAAGACCAAAACCAATGAAGCTATTGTGGATCATAAAGAAAAGAGAAACTTAGAGCTAGAAATAGAGGAAGCTAGACCTTTGGTGGTTAATAAACTAAAGCAAATTGAAAAGGAGATCCTCAATAAACTGAATAAGTAGTTGATAGGATCGAGGAATTGTCAAGAAGCTCTCTGACCACTTATGACTAATATTTGCTAACATTTTATTGAAGGGTCCTGAGTTTATAGAACTGAATTTGTTAACAAGGATTTATACTACAGGGTGTCCATAAATGATTACCCTGATTAAAGCATGAGAGCATACTGTATTTATGGTAATCATTTATGGACACCCTGTATATTTAACTGGTTTGCATTAATTGTGAAAATCAGATGCATAAAATAATTAAACATCTACTTTGCAGTTGTCCCACGTATTCTGTTTGATGGGTGGCAAGCTCATGACTTCAGAGAACTCTTTGATTCAGAGATTCAACGCAGCAAACTAGCTAATGATATCATCAGTATGATCAGGGTATGTTGTTCCTTTAAATTGTTACTCGTTTAAGAGTTTTCACAGTACAGTATCTATTGAGTCTGAGAACCAACTTTGTGTAATTCTTGAGGGTAAACATTAGGTACTGTAATTAAAAAGAGAGCACAATTCAATGTTTCAGATTTACTAAAACATTTCATAAAAATAAGTAGCATTTCTCTGAGTTTATTTGGGGTGGATGATACAAAAGTTAAAGGGAAATATTTGGTAGAAACATGACAATTCTAGGGTTGAAATTGTATCTTTTTTGTATAGTAGCAGTAAGTTCTGTCTTCATTGCTAATTTTGCTTTTCATTCTATGAAATACATCACATACTTTGAGACCAAAAATTTTGATGTAAGCACCCTTAGTTCTTTACAGAACTGTAGTTTTATAAATTATAAGAATTCTCTCCATAAATCATGAATGCTAGTTAACTCTTGCCCACCATGACTTGATTTCCTTGTCAATCATCCAATCCTTATTGTACAGTATAACACTACGTAATTCTATATACTTGAAAGCTGTAATACACAACTTATCATCAAAATATTTTTTCCTTTTTTTTCATATTTTTATTACTTTATGTGAAACTCCAATTTTGCGTAGATTGTAGTTGGATTCATACTTAAAAAATACACCACAGTAATATCTCCGTTAACCGGAATCCGTCAAGCCCGGAACTCTCCAATAGCTGAAATTTAAATTTTCTCGGAAAATCATTCCCAAAGCCGGAATTTTCCAGAAAATTCTGGCGTTGGGAATGATTTTCCGAGGGGCACATTTTTCTGGAGAATTCCGAGAAAATTTTCCCAGTACCCACAAAATTTCGGGGTTGGGGGAGTTTTTTCCGAGTTTGAGAAGATGAAAATCAGGCACATTTTCCGGAAATTACGAGAAAATTTTTCCAGTAACCTGAAAATTTCAGGGATGGGGGATATTTTTCCGGGTTTGAGAGCTAATGTAATGCATCATTCTGGAACTTCCAAGAACATTTTCCATTACTCGAAAAATTCCAGGGATGAGGGATTTTTTCCGACTTTAAGAGAGTCGTCTCGTTACCCGGAAATCTCTCCTCCCCGGAAGTGCTCTGCCCCAATTGTTCCGGCTAAAGGATATATCACTGCAGTTGTTGAAAAGAAAATAGTGTGGCTTTTCCATGCCAGAAGGTTGCAACTAGCATTGTGCTTGGGAGGGGATGATATTATTAATAAGACAGTGTGCTGAGTGTTAATCCCTGTAAAAATACTTTAGTAAACACATTTTAGTGAGCATCATCATTACCAGGATCACTAATTGTGTTAGGCCAAGGATTGGTAACAATGTTTAGAGCACAAGACTAGCACATTCTTAATCGGGAAATAGCCACTCTGCCAAGACTGTAAGACTGCATGTTTGATATTACATATAAGTAGTACAGTACTGTATTAATATTAAACTTGATTTTAATTTATAGCGTTGTTGGGAAATTTTCATAAATGAATTTCTTATTTTCAGATGCATCATTTAGACGGCATCGTTTTAGAGATTTGGAGTCAGATGCCAACGCGTGAGCTGCTTGAAAACTTGCCAAATTTTGTCCGTGAACTGGCTGTTAAGATTCGTAATGCTGGCTACACATTTATCCTGGTCATCCCCCCAGCTGTGTACCAGAGGTTTGTTTTAATCAGCTTGCATTTTAAGGATCAAAGGAAAATTAATATTTTAGTGCCACATTTACAATGCTTCAGAATTCATTTGTCTAAAATTAATTAATATACTGTACTGTACAATAAACCCCCTAAATAAGGGATACTCCCCATAAGTGATGTCGATTGGTCAGATAGAATTAGTGGACTCAGCTGGTAAGATCTGGTAATGAGAACATTGTCTGCTGTTTACCAAGTGGTGCATGTTTGAAGATTATTAGTCTCATTACACCTGAGCATGGTGTCTTTGTGGTACCTGCATTACTCTTTCCATCTCTTGGAAAGTGAACTGCCCTTAAAATGTCTCAAAACAAACTTAAAAGAAGTTCCTGAGTGCAGTACTGTAATGTAAAAAGACAGTAAAGTACTTAGCATTAAAAAAAAATGAAATTCTCCTAAAACTCACTCGATCAAGTCTGGTTCAAGACCAGACTTGACCAACACTGGAGCAGGTTCAGATACATTCAGGAGCCAGTGCGTGCTCATTACTTGCCTTTGTGTGTAACAGAAACATAACTGACCGCCCAAGCAGCTAACGAGCCGATCTGTGGCAAAGAGGATAAAAGTAAAAGATAAAAGGAAACTCCATGACCAGTACTGTATATTGCGTAGGAACCTTAATTCTTGGCTTAAAGAAGAAATGTGAAAAATTGCAGCACCCTAACCTGGGGCTTAAAGGTTAAGTAAGCTCACATATTTATTCTGGAGTTGGACTAGGTAGTAGGTAGTAGGCAGCTACCAAACAGGGAGGTACTACTGCCTGGGAAGATATTGGAACCATAATGTGTTGTCTAATGGTAGACCCTGCTGCTGTATGGCATCACGAAAATTGTGACCAACTCCCAGGTTGCTGATCTATCTTTCTGCCCCATTTACACACAATTGCAGGGTCTCAACTGTCTCTTACTATTGACAACACCACAAATATAACCGTACTCATTCTTGATCTGTTTTATTCATTCTATTTTATTTTCCTATGTCAGTTGATATTAATATTGAAGCGGGGCCTTCTCGGACGGGTCCCACTGGTTGGGAAGGTTGTGGACCCCAGGGCCGACCTGATCATCATCAAGTTACTGGGGCCTCGACTGACGCCACCGCTGTTGCTGGAGGATCGGCTTTTTTCACACTTCATTTTTCCAACATTCGCGGACTGAGACTCAATTTTCCTTCTGTGGAGCACCATCTATTAACCTCTTCCCCCGACCTCTTACTACTTTCCGAACTTCAACTGTCCAAAGCAGCTTCACCCAAACCTTTTCAAGTCTCCAACTACAACCTTTATACCTCCTTCCGTTCTAAGGGAGGTGTATGCGCCTACTACAACACACGTACACCTATAGCTCGATTGATGGATCTTGAATTTTTCCCTTTATGATGTCATCTGGCTCAAAATAATTCTACCTAGTGTGACTATTTTTCTTTGTTTCCTATACTGTTCTCCCAACTCTACCAACTATTTCGAACTCTTTGACTATCTCACTTCTTGCCATGAGTCATTGCTATCCACACACCCCAACACCGAGATCCTCTACCTAGGGGATTTCAATGTACATCACAGAGAGTGGCTTGGCTTTGCAAGGGATGACCCAGGTGGAGCTGAGGCACTCTCTTTTTCCCTACTTAGTGAATTGGAACAAATAATCAAACACCCTACACTCATTCCTGATCGACACGATCAACTTGCTAACATTCTTGATCTTTGTTTTACCTCTAACCCCACACACTATTCATACCCAATTTCTTCCCCCCTTAGGGTCTTCTGATCACAACCTTATTTCTATTAAATCAAACTGGGCACGACCAGCTCCCCAACCCCTCTCTAAACGTCAACTATAGAACTATCGGTGGGCAAGCTGGCAATCCTTGCGAGAATTCTTCACCGACTTTTGGGAAGAATGTTGCTTTTCCACTCGGGACGCCTTGGTGTGTGCTGACAGCATTGCTGGGGTTATACAGGGTGGTAATAGTGCATTTATCCCATCTTCTACCAAAACTTTCACATTACAATCATGGTTTGATCGCTCCTGCTCTCTTGCTTGCAGGGTGAGAGATAGGGCATATCGAGCTATGAAATTATCTCCATCTCCTTTTACCCACACCTCTTTCATTACTTCTAGGAATCGTTGTAAGGCTATTCTTCGTAGGGCCAAGCGGAATTTTATTAAAAGAAAGACCGCTGTCTTGACTAATTCTTCCTCTAGTAAATCCTTCTGGTCCTTAACCAAAAACATCTGTAACAACTCCTGCTCTCCTTCTTTTCTTCCCCTCTTCCGACCTGATAATTCTATAGCCAACTCTCCCCCTGACAAAGCCAACCTCTTTGGCACCTTATTCTCCTCTAATTCTACCTTAGACAATTCCCACTCTATCCTTCCTACCCCTGCACCTCCTACTGAATCTATGCACTTTCCTATAATCTCCACTCGCAGGGTTGCCGGTGTGTTATCCAGGTTGGATGTGAGTAAGGCGCATGGACTGGATGGAATACCCCCTCGTGTTCTGAGGGAGTGTGCTGAAGCTCTGGCCCCTGTGCTTGCTCGCCTCTTTTGCCTCTGCCTGAAAACCCAAACTTTTCCTTTTTCTTGGAAGCATGCCTTGGTTCAGCCCATCCCAAAGAAGGGTGACCATTCTAATCCCTCTAACTATCGCCCCATTGCCCTAAACTTCATCCCTCTCTAAGATTTTCGAAACTATCTTGAACTCCCATTTTCCCCGTCACCTTGAACGCCTTTCACTTTTGTCGGATCACCAGTCTGGCTTTTGCCAGGTGAGATCTACTGGTGATCTGCTCTCCTATTGCACCCATCTTTGGTCATCCTCTCTTAGGGATGGCACAAGTCTTTACTATCTAAACTTCCCTCTTTTGGTTTCTCTCCCCCACTTTGTTTTCTAATCTCTAGCTTCCTTGAGAACCGATCCATGACAGTTGTTGTCGAGGGATCGATCTCTCACTCTTTCTCTACCAGTAGTGGTGTCCCACAGGGTTCTGTTCTTTCACCTACCGGGTACTCTCTTCCTTCTTTTTATCAATGATTTACTTCACACTACTTCTAATTCTATCCATTCTTACGCTGATGATTCTACTCTTCTTCACATTTTCCTCTTCCTCCTAACTCTCAAACTAGATTTGTTTCTAGAGCTGATATCATTACATCTATCAGTGCAGATCTTTGCAGCATCTCTGAATAGGGAGGTACAAACTTGGTTAAGTTCAATAGTAGTAAAACTCGATATTTACCAATTACACTTTGTAAAGTAGACGATCTCCCACCAATTACATTTCAGGACGCTATCATCCTGCTAAATTTTGAAATAAATATGTTAGGCCTTACCATTTCCTCCAATATGTCCTGGAAATCACACATCCTTAATATAGCTAAAGCTGCCTCCTGAAAGTTGGGAATGCTGTACAGATGCTGTAGCTACTTCACTCCTGAGCAGTTGCTCTAAATATATAAGGGATTCATTTGTCCTAACTTGGAGTACTGCTCTCATATCTGGGGTGGCTCTTCTTCTGTCCAACTATTAGATAGGATGGAATCAAAGGCGTTTCGTTTTATTAACTCTCCTCCTTTAGTCGACAGTCTCTCTTTCCTTTCTCTTCGCTGCAATGTTGCTTCACTCTCTTTTACAGGTACTTTAACAGGTAATGTTCGGTGGATTTGGCATCCTGTGTACCGTGGGCTCGTAACGCACGTCTTGCCCGCGGTGCCCACCGTTTCTTTGTGGATGTCAGTCACACGAGAATAACCCGTTATAGTACCTCCTTCTTTCCTCACACAGCCAAAATGTGGAATATTCTGCCTTCTTCTGTGTTTCCATGCTTATACAATGTGTCTCACTTTAAAAAGCTGGTTTTTCGGCATCTTCATGGTGTAGGTTAACACAGTACAGTATAACCGTTTTCTTCTCTATTTTCAATTTCTTTCTGTTCTTTTTTGCTCCCCAGGCCCCGTTGTGGGTCGTTTGACCTGTGCCCGGGTGGGCTAATCTCCGTAAAAAAAAAAAATAAATAAATTTAGCCTACTGGAGACAGTATCTGGGGGATTCATTAGCCTACAGGAGATTTACAACTTCACATATTGGCTGCAGGATGATTTAAAAAAAATATATTTAAATGCGTCTTATATGCCATAAAATACGAAACATATTGGACTTTAATCTGTCTTTTACTTTCAGGAATTCTCCAGGCTCCTTTTTAGGACAACACTTCAGAGCATTGGTGGATGTTGTGGATGCATTTTCTCTCATGACTTATGACTTCTCAAGCTTCCAGAATCCAGGTTGTTTGTTTGTCAAATTTTAAATTTTCTGCTCATGAGTCTTCTTTTGTTATGAAATCAAATCTTCTTCCATCACTTTTTAACTCGTAAGTGAAACAGTGAAGCCATGTGCAGTAATTAGAAATCATCCAGCATAGTGAAGTAGGTTTTGAGAATGGATGTGCGGGTGATGAGTGATGTTACGTTGTGTGAATTTATAGATATGAGATACAGTGGTCTCTCGGTTAACGAGCGCCTCGGTTAACGAAATTTCGGGTAACGAGTTACCTCCCTTAAGATTCTTAACTTCGGTTAACGAGCAATCCCTCGGTTAATGAGTTTCTTACGAGCTGACCTCAACAAGTTTTGGCTTGCACTTGGCGGTCAACCAGTTTAGTATTAGTCCGCCACTACATTAATCGGTTCTAGGGCTTAAATTCCTTACTATTTTAGTAAATATCAAGAAGTTTCTACTATTCAATAATTTTAAAAGTTTAATATTAAATTTTTTAGTCATTCTAACAATTATTGAACATAATTGAAGGTAAAGTGACTAGTTTTATGCACGCCATCCAGCCTCTTAACACAGCAAACAGGCGTTAGTCTCTCTCTGTTTTCACTGGAGGTAACATCTTGCTTGAGACTCTCTTCAACTAAAAACTTTTTTCTGTGTTTCCAAGCAAATTATTGGTCATTTTGAAATTTATTTTACATATTGACAATATATAGGGCAGTGTTATTTTAAAGAAAATAGTCTTTATTTACAGCAAGTTTATAACTAAAAGATCATGTGTTGACATTGTTTGAATCCAGCATGGGGCCTAAGAGATCAAGAAAAGCGATTTCAATCCAAACCAAGCAGGAAATTATAAAAAAACATGAACAAGGCATTAGAACAAATGCGCTATGCAAAGAATATGGCATGTCGACATCAACTGTATCGACAATTCTTGCACAGAAAGACAAATTTAAAGAAGTGAAAGTGAGAGACAAATCTACAAGTGTTTAAAAGTAGATCCCTAATTGCAGAAACTGAGAGGTTACTTCTCATCTGGATTAGGGAAAAACAGATGAAAGGTGATTCGGTTTCTACTGAATTCATTTGTGAAAGAGCCAGGGAGATTTACGAACATTTAAAGACAGATCAACCTGGTTCTTTAGGCACAGAATTTGAAGATTTTAGGGCCAGCAAAGGCTGGTTCGAAAAATTTAAGAAAAGAAGTGACATTTTCAGTGTTGTTAAGCATGGTGAAGCTGCTAGTGCTGATAGGAAGGGCCAGCAAAGTTTTTCGTTGAATTTAAAGAACTGATGGAAGAAGAAAATTATCTTCCACAGCAAGTGTTCAGTGTGGACGAAACGGGGCTGTTCTGGAAAAAGATGCCCAAAAGAACATTCATCACCAGAGATGAAGCCTCTTTACCTGGGCATAAACCCATGAAAGACCGTCTCACTCTATTGCTTGGTGCCAATGCTTCAGGGGATTTCCGACTGAAGCCTATGCTTGTCTACCACTCTGAAAACCCCAGGGTGTTCAAGCAACAGAAAGTTGTAAGAACAATGCTTGGAGTTTATTGGAAGTCCAACTGTAAGGCATGAGTAACAAGACAGCTCTTTAATGAATGGGCTGTTGATGTGTTTTGCCCTTCTGTCAAGAGCTACCTAACCACCAATAAACTCCCTTTAAAGGCTCTTCTCCTCATGGATAATGCTCCTGGTCATGACCCTGAACTTACCAGAAATTTTGAGTATCAATTTGACTTTGTGAAAGTGTTGTTTTTGCCTCCAAACACTACGTCAATCATACAGCCAATGGACCAGAATGTGATCAGCAACTTAAAGAAGTTGTACATGAAGAAAATGTTTAGGAGGTGTCATCAGGCAACTTCCAATGATCCTGAACTAACACTGAAACAGTTCTGGAAGACACAATTCAACATCCTGGAGGCTGTAAAATTGATTGTCATCATGGCAAGAAGTCTCCACTAGATCCCTCAATTCTTCATGGAAAGCACTGTGGCCATCAGTAGTGCATGATTTTGAGGGATTTGAGGAAGAAACAGAGTTGGACCAGGAGATTGTGTCCATTGGTCAGTCATTGGCCTTTAAGTGGAGGAGGAGGATGTGGAAGAGCTTGTGATGTCTCATGAGGAGGAACTTACTCCTGATGACTTGAAGCAACTGGATAAGATGTTACAGGTAGAGGCTGACAGTGGTGAGGAGGAAATTGAAAGTGATGACCATATGTCAACTAAAGAGTTGAAAGATGTGATTTACTACTGGGAGAAGTTCAGGGAACTGGCTTTAAAGCACCCAGATGTGGAAAAAACTGAACTAACTTTGTGTCATGTTGAGGACTCAGTGGTCTCAAGTTAATGGTGAGGAGGAGAGATGCCCCACAGACCACAATTGACACTTTCTTCAGTAAAAGGCAGAGGGAACAAGATGCTATCCCTCAGCCTTCCACTTCAAGAAGGAGAGAGGATGTTCGTGGTGGAGAATCTGTCAGTCCAGAGGTTCCTGACATTTTCATGGAAGGTGACTCACCTTCCAAGAAGCAGTAAAATGCTTCTCCTCCACCTCCACTTCCTTCTCATCTCCCTTCTCCTCCTCCACCTCCTACTTCAAATTCACATCATCATCATCATCCAGGAGCCTTCTACATACACACCTCAAAGTAAGTGAATTTTTCTACCTTTTATGTTGAATTTAGGCAATTTTCGGTGAGCTGGAACCAATTACCCAAAAGTCCATTGAAACAATGGTTTCGGTTAACGAGATTTTCGGTTAACGAGCAACCTGCTGGAACGGATTGTGCTCGTTAACCGAGGGACCACTGTAGATATTTTGGGGTTTTAGTAGGTAGGGAATACCATAGCAGTATATATATCTGGTGGAGCAGTATGAATGAATGTGAATGGAGGAAGTGTGTGTTTGTGTATTTGTAATTGTAGATATAAATCTTGTAAGCATGTTGAGTTCTCTGTTTACAAATAGTTTGAGTAAACTTGAAGATCCTTGGTAAGCTTTTGGATGGTACAGTATTGCATATAAGTAGTTTATAATCTGTAAATCCCTTTCTCCAGTGTTCACAAAATATATATTTTTGATTATGCTGAGATATAAAGATAATGTTTTAAGGATAGTACAGTACTGTACTTAATTTACAGTATATGTTTGAAGGACAGTACAGTACAGTTGTACCCCGATTTACGCGGTCAATTGAACCCACAGGGTACCGCGTTAAGTGAAATCCGCGTAAATGGAACAACAGAACATATGGGATTAATTCCAATAGAGACTGGCCCGACCCCCAAATTCCACTTTTTGACGACACACAACTATGTTGTAGTAAAAATATTATCTTAACTTTATGATGGTATGCATACACAATTAATAATTAAGAGAAATATCAATAATATTAGGTTTTTTAACACTTACATTAGTAGAAAAGATGGCTGGACACATGGGGATGGGCGGTTGGTTCCAAGGCAGAGTGCAGATTATTGGCCCTCACCTGTATCACTTGTATCAATTGTATCACTATCCACCACAGAGGCTTGCAGGGCCTCTTTGTCAAACCCCTCAAAGTCCATATAAGTCCATATCCTCATTATAATTATCACTATCACTGACTTGGGCCGGCTGTGGTGGGTGAAGAACTCGGTAATGTTTTGATGACTGGGCGACCTTGTGTGCATCCTGCCCGCGCCGCTTCCCGCGTATATGAGTAGATGCACCGCGTTAAGTGAAAGTTCGGTTCTGGCGAGGCAACTCGTATATGAGAAATCGCATTAAGTGAAACCGCATAAAGCGGGGTACAACTGTACATGATTTTATATATTTAAGGACTGTTTATGATTTATGTATTGTTTGTTTTAAGGACAGTACTTTATTTATAATGTTTTTAGGACAGTTCTTAATTTTTATATTTTAAGGACAGTACCGGTACATTATTTATATACAGAGTACTGTACTGTACATGATTTATAATGTTTTTAGGGCAGTTCTTGATTTATATGTTTTAAGGACAGTACATGATTACTGTACTGTATATGTTTTTAGGATAGTACAGTATAGTCTGGGTTTATGCGGATATTTTATACGCGCCAATTATTAGTTACGCGGTACATTCCTTAATTTACGCAGCAAGTGGCGGGCAAGCGGCTGGACGCTGATGTCAGACTCGTGCCGATGACGTCGCGGACTGTGATTGGGTCACGTATCCTTTCCACCCACGCACCCCCTCCGCCGTGCGCTGTGATTGGTCTATTTAACCTTGCTTGCCCAGTCAACAAAACATTACAGAATTCTTCACCCTCCACCCACCACAACCAGCCCAAGTCAGTGATAGTGAGGATATGGACTTTGAGGGGTTTGACAAGGAGGCCCTGCTAGCCTCTGTGGTGGATAGTGATACAGGTGATACAGGTGAGGGCCAATAATCTGCCCTCTGCCTCAGAACCAACCCCCCATCCCCGTGTGCCCAGCCATCTCTTCTACTAACGAAAGTGTTAAAAAACCTAATATTGATATTTCTCTTAAATATTAATTATGTGTGCATACCATCATAAAATTAAGATGTTGTTTTTACTACAACGTACGTATTGTGTCGGAAAAAGGGTAGTCTGGTGGTCGGCCCAGTCTCTATTTCAATTAATCTCATATGTTCTGTTATTTTATTTACGCGTTTCATGTTATATGCGGACCTCCATGGGTTTAATTGACCGCGTAAACCCAGACTATACTGTACAATACTTGATTTATATGATTTTAAGATAGTACAGTACAGTAGAACGTCGATTTAAAGCGATTAAATTTAAGATTATTGATTTAAAGCGACACTCACAATTAAGGACAATGTTTTAATGTAAAGCGAATCTTTCCTATTTTGCGCGACTCAATCTGATGCATCATATTTTTAATTTCGCGCCTAATGTTTCTTTCGGCACGCTACACTGTCCTAAGGGCAAAGCTGTACTGTACATGTACTCTAAATGATTACTAAAATTTTTGTCTAGTGCAAACTATAGCATGATTATATTCAAATTAATCACTATCTTATAAGAATTCCATCAATGTAAATTATATTCTCCCTGGTCACTTATGTGACATTTTATAAGCCAAAAACAAAAACTCAATCTAAAGGACATAAATAAACAAATAAATACTTCACTAGACCTTCGGTTCCAACTGTCAAACATGTCACTGTCACTTCCCTCCCTCCCTCCCTCCCTCCCTCCCTCCCTCTCCCCCATCTTCCCAGCCATGGTTTGGTTGTTATAGGCTTTAGGTTTTTTCTTATATAATATCACAGACTTAAGTTAGGATAACATATTTTGCATTGTAAGAATCCTTGCAAGACAGCAAATAATTTGAATATAAACATCATATATTTTGCAGAATAGTTAAAAATTTTATCCCTTTGTAATAAAATTAATTAGAACTACAATTTGTATGTCTAATGCGAACTATAGCATGTATATATTCAAACTAATCACTATCTTATAAGAATTCCAGCAATGTTAATTATATTCTCCCATGTCAGTTCAGTGGCATTTTATAAGAGAAAAACTTAGTCACTCTTAAGGACAGATAAATAAATAAGCACTAGACCTTGGCATCAATTGTAAAACATATTACCTCACCACCCCCCCCCCTCCTCCATCTTCCCATCAGCTGATTGCTAGTAAACAGACCATTTCACGTCCCATAATTTTAGCTGTGCTGATTTATTAGTTTTTGTTTTAACATAATACTTCAAAAATCAATGTTTTGTTTATTACAGGAGATGGGCTGAGGTGCACCTGGGTAGTCTCTCAGTTTATTTAGTATTTTGTGTTTCTCTCAAGTACAAACTAAATTATTCCATTGAAACAACACTTCGATCTATTGCGAATTCGGTTTAAAGCAACCCTCTTGGAACGTATCTCGTGTTATATCGATGTTCTACTGTACTTTGATTTATAGTGATTTTAGGATTACTTGAATTACAGCTGCTCCCCGACTTACGACGGGGTTAGGGACCCAAATCCAGGTCATAAGTCGGAATGGTCGTAAGTCTGACACAGATAAAAAATAAAATGAAAATAATAAAAAACAAAAAATCTACAATGGAATACAGTACAGTAAAAGTAATAAATAATGAGGAATGGATACAGTGTGACTGAGCACTTACCTTTAATGTAGTCAGCTGAATGCACACGGGTCCCCCATAATTTTCTATTTACAGTACAGGATACATGGAGACTATATTAAATGGATGAAGCAGAGGAGGAGACAGGGCTGGGTGGATCATCAATGTCACTTTCTTCAGACAGGTTTATGTGCTGTGGAAACTTGCTGGTTGAAGGTATTGGATCATCTTGAGGGAGTGAAGAGGCAGCACTGGTGGGGCATGAGGAGACAGCAATGGGGGACTTCTTAAAATAGATGTCCAATTTAGACTGCACAGTTTGCTTTTTCTTTTTGTTATAAATTTCCCTGTAGCAATCAAGTGCATCTTGGACTATTCTGTCAACTTTGGCAAAACGCTCATAATTTTGATCCATTCCGTTAAACATTTGCATCCCCTTATTAATTGTAACAAATTCCTCTGCAATTTGCTTTACTGAAAAGTTTTTGGGGGTGCTGGTCCTTCTACATTTCGACTCGCTTCTTCCTCTGCATTTTTGTGTGCTTCCAGTTCGATAAGATCTTCGTTACTTAGCTCTTCTGCTACACTTTCAACCAACTGTTCAACATCTTCATTATCAATTTCTAACTGAAGCTGTTTACCTAACTCCACTATCTTGTTACTAATCTCAGAAATAACTTAATTTTCATTAAATCCTCTGAAACTGTTCACATATCTTTTCAGTGTTTTCTTCCATATTCCATTCATGCATTGTTGTGTAACCTGATCCCATGCTGCAATAATGTTCTTTATACATGTCAAAATGTTGTACTCCTTCCAAAACTCTCTGAGCGTTTTCTCACCTTCAGTAGCAGCAACAGCCTGAGCGAAGGTCGTACGTAAATAATTTGCTTTAAAGGCAGCAATAGCACCTTGATCCATGGGTTGGATGACAGAGGTAGTGTTAGGTGGAATGTAGACTACCTTAACATCAGGGTGCATGTCGTCCAGGTGTGATGGGAGTCCTGGAGCATTTTCCAAAATCAGCAAAATCTTGAATGCAATCCCTTGTTGCAGACAATACTCCTTGGCTCGAGGAATGAAACAATTCATGAACCAATCCTCAAACAGTACTAGGGTCATCCAGGTTTTCTTGTTACTGTGATAAAACACTGGCAGTGTGTGCTTGCTGACATGTTTAAAAGCCCTGGGGTTCTCTGAATGATAGATCATGAAGGGCTTGATCTTGAAACCAGCAACATTCCCCCGCAACAGAAGTGTAATTCTGTCCTTGAATGCCTTGAATCCTGGCATTGTTTTTGCCTCTTTGTGGATGTATGTTCGCTCAGGCATGCGCTTCCACAATAATCCAGTTTCATCCACATTGAATATTTGCTCAGGCAAATAATTCCCTTCCACAATCACACGATCTAGCTCCTCCTTAAAAGCTTCTTCAGCACCAATATCAGCACTAGCTACCTCTCCACTCATCTTAACATTATGTAAACTGTAGTGGTTCTTAAATCTGTTAAACCACCCATGACTTGCTGTGAAGGTTTGTTCACACTCATCTCCTGCCTGCTCCATCAGGCTTTCGAACAGGCTTCTTGCCTTAGCCTGTAAGGTTAGAAGGCTTAAGGGTACACGCTTATGTATTTGGTCTTCCATCCATATCACCAATAATTTTTCCACATCGTGAATGGGGGCCTTGTCTTTTCTTCGTAATTATAGTTCCCTTTATAGGTGCTGATCCTTTCACTACATCACGAATATGTTCTTTGTCCTTCAGAATAGTGGATATGGTCGAGTGCGAAAACCCTAGGTCACGTGAAATTGTTGCTACAGTTTTCTGTTTTCATACTGCATTATTATCTTCATTTTTGTCTCAAAAGTAATTGACTGTCTCCTTTTCTTCTGAGCACCACCACCACTCTCACTTCTACGCTTTCCAGTCATGATAAAGTCAATTAAATACGAAAATAATGTCAGTACACAGCTAGATCAGTATAGGATACGACAGCCAAACACCAACTAATCGCTCTACTGCATGGGAGCTGTACCCACGTGGTGACCCAAGCCACACTCTCGTACGGGACGGAAACGTTTCGGTATAGAAAATGCGCGCGTCGTTTGAAAAAAATTTTGGTCCTGACCGCGCGGTCGTATGTGCGGATGGTCATTATGGACAGAGCAGGTCGTAAGTGCGGGTGGACGTAGGTCGAGTAGGTCGTAAGTCGGGGAGGAGCTGTATATGTTTTTAGGATAGTCCAGTACATGATTTATATGTTTTAAGGACAGTACGTTGTTGATTTCTGTATTTTTTAATCTTTCATGTTGTCAGAGTAATATCATCAGTCATTCAAGTTTTTGTCTATATAAGATCATTATTAATCTGGATTCATATTCTCAGGTCCCAACGGTCCTGTGTGGTGGGTACGTGACTGTGTTCAACGACTGGTTCCCGATGCCTCATCTCCTGATCGTGCCAAGGTATTTTTCATGTGTTGTGAAGTAAAACTTTTAATTTGTTGCTCAAACTTCCTTATGAGTTATACAAATATGTTTACAAAAGAAAAATATACTTTCATCATACAGAACCCCTTATTTACATGGTTTGAATAAAAACTGGATTCACTTATACAGCCAAAATCAATAATTGAGTCACAAGGAGAGCGTCGAAGTCAGGTAAGTGAGAAGCAGGGCACCTGAATGGGTCTCAAACCCCCCCATTAACCACTAGTTACATAGTTGGAACTATCGCAGACCTTAAGCTCCGCCCGCTCTCGTGGCCCAGTGAGTGTACTGTAAATTTTCTTTACCCGTCATTCGAATGTTTATATGCATACTTTGAGTGAAAATTTAATACAGTCAGTTCTGCTATAACGCGATAGTTGTGTTCTTGTAAAACATTGTGTTATAGAAATTCGCGTAATAGAAATAACAGGGCTTATGGAGAAAATAGGGTTAGGTGCAGATTACTACTCGAAATCGAAAAAAATTTAGTAGTTAGCCTAACACAAAGGATAGCACAGTCTAAATAAATGTTACATTCATATCTAATAATGAAATCATACAGTAAATGTAACACTTTACCTTGAAAAAATATGAATATAACTTGATGGGGGAGAAGGGTGATTTTGAGGTAGATAACATCGAGCTTCTCTTCAAGGGTTATAGCCTTTCTTTTACGATCATCACCGGGAATTCGATCACCAGAACGCTTCTTGGAGATATTCTTCTTTACCATATTCACAGTTAATACCACAAAATTGGAGAAATAGTAAGCAAAAATCGCGTTACAGCAAACAAGTATTCGCGTTATACAAATATCGTTCCTCTATTCATAAATCGCGTAAGAGCCAATTCGCGTTGTCAAAACACGCGTTATAGCAGAACCCACTGTACAAAGAAGAACTTATGAGGTTGATTCATATTTAATATAGCTGACATAATTAATGTAAATTGTAATCCAAAGAATTGGAATTAGCTGGTAACTACACATAATTGAAGGTAAATTGACTATACACCTTGGAAAGTTTATTCTTATCTCAATAGATTAACATTACAATTAAAAGTTATTAAATTGTAATCCCTTTCAATTTCTTGCTACCTCTGAATACAGTTTCTTGTGAATTACTATGATGCATAACCATTCAGTTGAGTGGATGGCAAATAAATCAAACATTTGAATGCAAGCGGCATAGAGAGCTAGGAGGAAAGGCTTAAACCTATTCTTCAATCACTATTTAGACAATGGATAATTAGAAGTCTATCGTTATGAATACATAACCATAATAGTTCTGTAATGTAGCATATATACCCAATAGAGACTCAAATTGGAAAATTGTGCAAATGGCTCATAAGACAATAAATCCTCACCCTTCCCCCCTTACTCCCCCCAACCTCCCTTTGCCCTACTTCCCCACCCCTCCATCTCAACTTGCTGGCTACATCTGCTTGTCCTTACCATTCTTTTACATACTCTATAACTTTTCTTCAGTATCTTATTGGACACCTTCAGTTTCTTTAAAGCAGTCTTATACATCATTGATTTTTATCATGCACTTATAAACCAAAATAATAAATTACAATATTATGTTCCTATATTCTGCTGGTCATCCCCATAGTGGTGCGAAGCAAACTATCGCTGATGGGGTCGAGAATGGTATACTACAAGACAGCAAGTCTATTGTACAGTACAGTCAGTTCTGCTATAACGCGATAGTTGTGTTCTTGTAAAACATCGTGTTATAGAAATTTGCGTAATAGAAATAACAGGGCTTATGGAGAAAATAGGGTTAGGTGCAGATTACTCCAAATCGAAAAAAAAAATCGTAGTTAGCCTAACACAAGGATAGCACAGGCTAAATAAATGTTACATTCATATATAATAATGAAATCATACAGTAAATGTTACACTTTACCTTGAAAAAATATGAATATAACTTGATGGGGGAGAAGGTTGATGTTGAGGCTGAGGAGTCATGAAACATCAAGCTTTTCTTCAAGTGTTATAGCCTTTCTTTTACGATCACCACCGGAAATGCGATCACCAGAATGCTTCCCAGAGATATTCTTCTTTTCCATAGTCACAAAATTGGAGAAACAGTAATCAGAATTCACTGAGGACACTTAAAAACTTCACACGTGTTTCAAACTGAAAGTGTGGAGTAAACAGAGCGCGCGGGTCTAAAACGCTATGTATTTTGTTTTTCTCTCTTATTTAAAATTTTACAATTTACATATACAGTAGTACCGCGCTTAACGCGGTCAATAAAACCCACAGGGTACCGTGTTTAATGAAAACCGCGCTAAGTGAACAACAGAACATATGGGATTAATTCCAATAGAAACTGGCCCGATCCCCAAACTCCACTTTTTGACGACACATAACTATGTTGTAGTAAAAATTTTATCTTAACTTTATGATGGTATGAACAAACAAGTAATATAGAAGAGGTTAGGTTAGGAAAAATAAAGGTTAAGTTAGGAAAAATAAAGGTTAGGTTAGGAAAATTAAAAGTTAGGTGTAACACTTACATTAGTAGAAGACACACACTGCGCAACCTTACAGCACGGCTTGCCCAGGCGGAGGGAGGCAGGAGGAGGGAGAGGCGAGAGCAGGCAGGCAGGCGGGTGGTGGGTGGGGCGAATCTAAAAATAGCGTCTCGAGCCGGACACTCACTGCGTATACGTGGAAAAAACCCGCGTTAAGTGAAAGTTCGGCTCTGGCGAGGCACCGCGTATACGGTAAAACGCGCTAAGTGAAACCGCGTTAAGCGGGGTATTACTGAACTGTACAGGTATACTGTATACATAAATATTACATAAATTATATCTGCAATTCTTCACAAACAAAACACATAAATCAATTGAACATGTGATGTCGAACGTGAACTGTAAACATTGCGCCAAGCCACAACACTGTACAGTACACTTTAAGCGCTACGTGTTTTGTTTTTCTCTCTTATTTAAAATTTTACAATTTACATATACTGTACAGGTATTTCTTCACAAACAAAACACATAAATCAATTGAACAAGTGATGTCGAACGTGAACTGTAAACATTGCGCCAAGCCACAACACTGCACAGTACACTTTAACACCTTAAATGCTACGTATTTAGTTTTGCTCTTTTATTTAAATTTTTACAATTTACATATATATATATATATATATATATATATATATATATATATATATATATATATATATATATATATATATATATATATATATATATATATATATATATATGTAAATTGTAATTTACATATTATTCATATTATGCTACAGCGCCCACAAAACATGAGAAACGTTTGAGTCCCCCAGTAGAGATGTCCGTTCTCTATCCACTTCAGGATGTCTTAGTCCTCCGTTTTCTTTTTGTGTACTCGCTCAGGGACTCTAGTATTTCTGTATATAACACAGGATGATAAGGGAATTTGAATTTATTTGTTTATTTATTTATTTATTTATAATACAGTATTACCCCGCCTAACGCGGTTTCACTTAGCGCGTTTTATCATATACGCGGTGCCTCGCCAGAGCTGAACTTTCACTTAACACGGATTTTTTCATCATATACGCGGTGAGTGTCCGGCTCGAGACGCTATTTTTAGATTTGCCCCACGCGCCACCCGCCCGCCTGCCTGCCTGCCTCTCCCTCCTCCTCCCTCCGCTTGGGCAAGCGGCGCGGTAAGGTTGCGCAGTGTGTGTCTTTGTTGTGTTATCACTGACGTCATATGACGTATCGGACTGTGATTGGCCATGCATCCCTACCCCCCTCTGCTACTAGCTGTAATTGGCTAAAAGTATTATGACGTGACCACCCCGGGGAGGGAGGGAGGGAGGGAGGAAAGACGATGCTTGACCTAGCCGCGGCAGTTTCATCCCTCAAGGCCACACCGTGTAAACTCGCATCCATTGTTCCGTAAAATGGCTTCCGCCGGACCACCACCGCCACCAGAGAGAGACCTTTCCTTTCCTGGACCCAGCGGCACTAAGCCAAAGAAGACACGACGTTCCTTAAGCTACGAGGTGAAGTACCAAATTGTTCAAGATTTGGAGAAAGGAACACGGCAAGTTGATCTCGCGCGCCAGCATGGCGTCAACAAATCTACGATTCGCACGATCAAGAAGGATGCAGCCAAGATCAAAGAGCACATGAAAATCACAAAGTCTGCAGGTGCTTCATCTATCAGGTATTGCCAGAACAGGGTGCTGGCAAAAGTGGAAAATTTGCTGGTGAGTTGTTTGATTCGTCAGGCGCGACGCAACATGGCGGTGGACACGCGCTCAGTGCAGGAGTACGCACGTGAGCTATACGCAGCAGTGTCACGTAAGCTGGGAATTGCAGAGCCCAAACCCTTCAATGCTTCCTCTGGTTGGCTGCATAGGTTTAAGAAGAGGAACAAGATCACCAACATCAACATTGGTGGTGAGGAAGCGAGTGCTGACCGTGTGGCGGCTAGAGATTTTCCTCCGTTCTTACGTGAGATTATGGAGGAAGGACAGTACACTGACAACCAGGTGTTTAACATGGACGAATCTGGTCATTTCTGGAAAAAGTTACCTTCCAAGACCTTCGTTGTCCAGTCTGCCAGCAAGGTAAGGGGTCGGAAGTTGCAGAAGGAACGCATCACCGTCCTGTTTACCACCAATGCCTCCGGTACCTGTAAACCAAAGTTATCGGTGATTCACACAACCCGCAAGCCGCACGCCTACAAGAATATGGACATGAACAAGCTTAATGTCCACTGGCTAACCGCACGTAAGGCGTGGATGTCCTCTTCTCTGTCCCTCTTCTGGTTTGACAACTGTTTTGTTCCCGACGTGAAGAAATTCTGCGAGCAACAGAATGTTTCATTCAATATTTTGTTGCTCCTTGAGAACGCACCTGGACACTCGCCCCTACTTATGGATCGTCACCCCAACGTAAAAGTGGTCTTCCTTCCTCCCAACACTACGTCATTAATCCAGCCCATG